GAAGCCCATAAAGGAAAGCCCAAATAGGACAATATCTACTAGCGGTGGATCTGGGACGTTACAAATGGTATCAGAGGCAGACACCGGATTGTATGCCAGTAAGGACGCTAGCCCCAAAGGGTAGATTTGGCAAGGGACCCACATTGATTGGAGAAAGGAAAAGAGTGCCAGCGAGGACGCTGGGCTCCGAGCTCCGAAGGAGGCTGGATTGTGATGTAGGAAAAGAGTGCCAGCGAGGACGCTGGGCTCCAAAGGGGGGTGGATTGTGATGTCCAAGAGGAGAACAAAACACCATTTTTAAGGGTGTGGAAATCTTTCCTAGCAGATGCGTTTTTAAGCCCACCCTTTTTAAGGGTTGGAAACTTTTCCTTCAAAGCCGTGAGGGGGGAGCCCGTAAGGAAAAGCCAAAGAGGTGAACCTAGGGCGTTACATGTGAAAATAAATGTCGTTCAAATTAACACAAGATAAACTTTAAGTTGCAAGATAGATTCAAGTTGCAATTCATGGTACACTAAAAAAGTACATAGTGATTAATTATAATCATAAAGTATGAAAGTTATATAATGTTATCTGTGTTTTCTTTGTAAAACAGATTTGCAAAATATAGTAAAAAGAACATTTGTACTTTTTTTTTTTTTTTTTTTTTTAGCGAAAACGCTAAGTTTCTTTGTAAATCTTTATAGGTTTATAATCATTTAAACTTTCTTGTGGACTGTTTATAATCGAATCTCAAACAAATGTTCTTATCTTGAGATATTCGTTTAACAAGATAACTCAGATCTTACTAATATTTTCCAGTTGTAAACTAAGAGTTTACCTATCTCGAATTTAGGAGGATTCTATTATTCAACTTGCTATGGTTTCCATATCAAACTCAGACACATAATTTATATATCCAAGAAATATCTGAAGTTAGGTTTTATAAACATTCGATTTCCCGAGGCCCTAGTGGATCTCAAATCTAAAAAAAGCGAATGTGAGTTTGAAAAAATTTGATGGCAATGACATGACCAACCCTTTTCTTTTGACCACGATGAGAAACTTCGGAGTCTTTGAAATATTGATCAATGGTTTTTGAAATATAAAATGGAGCGTTTTTTTCAACTCAAATGACGTGACATTCCGTTTGTATTGTCCAAAAAGGACATCTTAAGGAGCTTTGTATTTGTCTTTCTCAAAAATTTAAAATTTATCGATATCCCGATTGGGTATTCACATAATCCGTCTTAAAACTTTATTTAAAAATTTGTAGTTAATTACTAGAAACTCCTCACTCTTTTTCGATTTAAATTATGCAATTATATAAATTAGTAAAAATTACGAATTTTTTAAAAAATTAGTAGTAAATGGACAAAATTACAAATTGAAAGTGAAGTGATAACAAATTTAAAAGTAAAAATTGATTTTTTTGAAGCATATTTAAAATCTACCAAACTTTAATTATTTAATATATATATATATATATATATATATATATATATATTAAGAAAAATCATCAAAATATAAGACTTAAAAAATGGATTAATAATCCGAACAAGTGCACTCTCACAATTAGATGAAGATTATAATTAATCCAAGTGACTTCGAACGTTTTATTTATTTTAAGTAAAGATGTAATTTTCTCATAAATGCAACCATCGAACGAGAATAGAAGATCAGATCATCAACCTACAAAAGAGTAGCTATACATATGAAGAATTAAATAAACAAAAATTTTATATATCGAATTGGTTCATAAGTTTTCCTATATCACAACATGTAACCCTAGTTTTTGCAACTGATTCTTTTGTCCTATTATCTCTAGTATTATAAAAAAACCTAACTATTTACAAAAATATATTTGAGATCTTGAATAGTATTTTTAGTTTCATTCGATAGTTGATATAACTCTTTGATGCAAGTTTGAAATCACTCATTATTTTGTATTTTAAAACAGTAGAATCGTACTGTGATCAAAACTATCTAAATCTACAATTAAATCAAATATCGTTCGGTAGATAAAATATTAATTATCATCTAAAAAATTGATAGTTTGATCTATCACCTAAAATAAAACATACTACCAGTTCATCAAACATTCCATACCAAAACAACCATATTTTTTTCGAAATAATTTCTAATGCTATCCCAAGTTCACAAATCTTCCTAAGAATGAAACCCTAAAAGAAAGAGCCACAATAGATATAATATATGTATATATATATATATATATATATATATATGATCCTCATAAGAGATTCAAGAGAGCTTACCAGAAGTTGATCAAAGGTCTTTCGTCTTTCCCATATCCAAAATTTTCCAAGGAAAAGCTACGTGTAAGGAATGAAGCCTGGTCCGAGATCATTTTTTCCATTCAATCAACACAAAACGAACGAACGAACTTTTCAAAGACGAAAAGGAAGAAGAAGAAGATGAACAGAACTTTTAGTTGAAAAAACAACATAGAATAACACAATCTTCAACATCATAAGAAAGAACTAAATTAGAAACCTTGCAAAGGATAAAAACCGACACAAAATAAACGAAAAAGAACGACCCTTTAAACGAAGAAACACAAAGATTTCGGAACAAACTCCATTCCAAACACCCCTTTGCCTATCTCATTGCAATAATCAAAAGAGAACTCTTTCATGTTCTCTTCTCCCATCTGCTCAAAATCAGAAGCTTAGAGAGAAAGAGAGAATAAGAGGTGAAGGCAGCCATGAAAAAAGGGGAAGAAAGAAGATAATTGATGCATTATTATTTCATGGTGGGAAACACATGATGACAGGCAGGTCATAGAAAAGCATAAAAAACTAATAATTAAAAAGGGGTTTGGTGGTTTTTGGAGTCATCACTTTGTCTTCTTCCAAACCTTTTTATATGCTGTGTGGTAATATATTTCTATACTTCTTTTACCTTTATTTTATTTATTGTTCTTTAAGCTCTGCTGCTATGGCTTCTCCTCTCTATCACAGCATATAAGCACTGAAAATCAGGGAAGATAATATCTCAGAGATGGCCTAAAAGACAGGTTTAGGAATGGAAAAGGAAGGGGACATGGGCCTCCACTACCACCACCTCTATACTATACACCATTATTATACATTTGAATTATATTACATGGTCTTATTTTCAAGCAAAAAACAAACTGGAAGAAAGAACTTGTATGTTTCTGATTTCATTGACATTATTGTGATTTGTCACTTTCTTAAAATATTGGTTATGAAGATTAGATTTCGTTTTTCGGATGTTTGTTTGTTGATAGTGATAGGAATTATCGGTTGTGAATTGATAAGACAGGATAGAAATGAGTTTATCTTTGTTTTCTGCCTTCTTTAAATGTTTTGTAGTGATATTACGTTTGAACGTTGGACTTCTGGTTGATGATGTATGTCTTAACAAGTTGAGATGTATTTTCGAGTCGACCAAGTGTTTGGGTATATTATAGGCTAATTTGACTCTAAAATATGATTAAGCGTATAAATGATTTTCGATCTTTTTAGGTAGCCTGAGTGTTTTGGTATCATAGAAAAAGTGTAAAAAGCAAAAGAACATGTGTGATACTTGAAGCAAACTTATAATCCTTCAACCTAATAGTGAAACCCACCAAGTTTGTGAAGAAAAGGCTTTGAATTGAAAAGGAATATCAATTCAAACTTTAATGTGATATCTTCTCTTGAATCTTACGAAAGTAAAATTAAAGATCCACCATCCTTAAAAGATAAGAAGAGGCGTACACACAATTCCAAAATAATATCGAGAAGTAGTGTAATGGCTCAAGCCCACTGCTAGCAAATATTGTTCTATTTGGGCTTTCTCTCAAGGTTTTTAAAACGCGTCTACTAGGGAGAGGTTTCCCCACTCTTATGTTTCATATGGGATCATACAATCCACCCCCCTTCAAGGCCCAGCGTCCTCGCTGGCACTCGTTCCCTTCTCCAATTGATGTGGGACCCCCCAATCCACTCCCCTTCAGGGCCTAGCGTCCTTGTTCGCACACACCGCCTCATGTCCACTCCCTTTAGGGCTCAGCCTCCTCGCTGGCACATCGCCCAGTGTTTGACTTTGATACCATTTGTAACGGCTCAAACTCACAGCTAGCAGATGTTGTCCTCTTCAAGCTTTCCCTTTCGGGCTTCCCCTCAAGGTTTTTAAAACGTGTCTACTAGCCAACCGATGTGGGATCTCACAAGTAGTCCTAACCGCTAGAATAGAGCTTTGTTTTTTTTTTTTTTTTTTTTCCTCTTTTTCTCCCTTTCTCTGTTACCAATGGCATCTGTTCTATTCACACCCTAAAAAAAAACATCTCATTCATTCTCAACCATTCCATTCTCATTGATCTCTCATTCCTATTCAAGTCCCATACGACAAGATAATTCAATTCTGACCAATTAATCTCAAGGAAAAGTGGGGTTTCCTCTCTTTTTCACAAATCACAAACTTTTAGACTTTTCCCCTATGAACTGACCCCACAACCTCAATGTTCCCGTCATCTTTGTTTCCTCTTTTTCTTACTTTTACTTTTTTTCCCTTCCCATTTTTTCTCTCTTTCAACTGTGTCGCTCATTTCCCCCTACATTTCAGTTCATTTCCATGCAAAGATAGCAGAAAAGAGAAACAAAAGGACATATAAATGAGCTAAAAGACTAAACAAGCAATCACTTTTGACCACTCACCTGTCTAGTCATCTGTTGATCAGACGGTAGACAATCACATGCTGGAAGATCAATGGTCACCACGCAGCTCTCATGCGGGGTCCACCCACATGGGTCAGAGTCTACGAGGCCATGCATGACTATGATAGTCTCCCCTGTGAAATGGCATCAACATGGGTTCATGATTAATTTTAACAATCAATAAAGAATTAGCTCAGACAAATTTCTATCATATTTCCCTACCAAGCCAACCCCATTAAGAATACAATAGAACCTTGCAAACAAACAAACCCAGAGAGAGAGAGAGAGAGAGAGAGAGAGAGAGAGAGAGAGAAACAGAATCCTAGCATAGGAAGCAGGATCGGCATATCTTCTTACAGTATTCCTTTATTTTTTTTAGCTAAAGCAAAATGAACACCATAAATACCTTTTCTATATGCCCCATTTTATTACAATTGAATGAACTGAATTTATGGGGTTGGACTCCATGATGGCTGCAAATTACACCATCAGGGCAAGTATCTACACTGTCAACTACTTTGAAAATCAAAAGGAGTTGAGTTAGGACTGAGGATGTACAGTGAGCTCATTTTGTACAGTTACATTAACAGCAGTTAATAGAAAGGCAGAACCCACACAACCTAAATTGCTACCTGACTAACCCAGTTTAGTAGCAATTTCAAGATGGGTTCTTCACAATCTTAACATTGCTGTAGAAACGCTTCAGGTCCTTTATAGCCTTCTCCTCTATTTGAATTGAACGAATGGATGATGGTGTGTCAACTTCTGGTTTGAACCAGCGGTTTACTCCGTTGGAATCTGAGGGAGAGCCTTGACCAGAAGCAATCGAAAAGCCAGCTGTTCTCACCTTTGGACTGTTCGGTAATAATACCTGTTGTTTTTTTCCTTTCTGCGAGATGAGAAAAAAAATTGCAGTGTCGGTTTCGTTCTTGAATAAATTAAGAATTGCCTTCACTTTGAATTAATCCAAAAGAGTAGAGAGGTGAAAAGCTGGCATACCTGCTGCATCTGAATGTCCCTGAGAGATGGCCGAGAAGGCGGAGGAGTGCCAGATGCACACCAAGGAGGAGTGTTTCTGTCTCCATCGGTAACTTGAAAAGCTTGAGTCGGAACTACGGGTATTGGTTTGGAAGACAAAAATGAAGCTAAGGGGATTTTCCCTTCACTTTTACAATCCAAGAGATCAGCCTGATCTTTACACTCATTCGGCTGTTTCCCCAAGATTTTGCGCTGCTCATCCTGAATTTCACGTAGTGTTGTAGATCCTTTGGCAACCTTAACCCCACCCCAGGCTGGACCTTCTATTTTAGGCGTTGGTGGTGGTGCAGCTACCTCTTTGGGCGTATCATCAAGAGCGCCACTCAAGAACATCGAGAGCCCACCCTTCCTATTCTTCTTCTTCCTCGTAGCCGTTGGATATGGATTCCTATCCTTTGACAATTCTGTATCTTTCAACAAACTTGAATTACTTTTCATCGAAATACAAGTGGATGACTCGAGAGCATCAGAATTGTTAATTGTTTCTTCAAAGATTGTGTTGTCCCCCTGTTGGATATAATCAATCATTTTTAAATATATGAAAGAAATCAGTGAAAGTCGTAATCAAGGAAGTAAACACAATGCAGTAAAAAGGTAAGACTGGAGCACCTTAAGAGCCAGGTAAAGAGCAATGGAAGACCAAAATCATTACTACAATTAGGACAACGTTGTATCCAATCAAATGGTTGTTTTGAGTAGTCTATAAGAACACTACTTTATGTTTTTTTTCTGTTAAAAAACATTTGTATCGAGTAATTATTTCAAAAGGTTATTTTTTGTTGTTTGACCTATTTAACAACTACTGAAGTTATTCTTACTTCAACCAATACAATCACATCACAATTCTTTAGAACAGTTCTTAAAACCAGAAAATTGTTGTAAAAAACGGTAGCCATACATAACCTCAAATTAACAGGGGGGGTGAGAAATTCTTAAACTTTACCCTGCAGAAGAAAGTTAATCCCCTAAAAACGAGGACAAACGAATAAATGTCACGCCTAACCTTTTTCCTGGCAACTGAAGGCATTTCAACATCACGGAACTCCTCCATATGAGCGGGTTCTACATCAGATTTGGCAATACCAGCTGAAGTTTCCAAATGCTCTAGTTTGCATTTGTTCCTCCTCCTATGTTTTTTTGCTAGCACATTGTTCTTATTTCCTTTGTCATCGGGTGGCATTGAGGATGGTTTTGCCTGCAAGGTACCCACTGGAATACCAAGTTCCAGAAGTGAACTTTCAAGGGCAGACTTTGTTTGGAGCTTTGCAATTTGTTGTTCATCAAGGAGATATCCACAGGACTGTTTCGATTCAAGCATCTCAATTTGCTGCAACTTTTTCCGCAAAGCACGAATTTGTTTGGAAATGGCTTCCTTTTGGTCATCTTTGTGGAAAAAAGAATCTGATCTTTGTTCCATTTCGTTTGTCATGTTACTCATCAAATGATTCTCTCGGCACCTTAAACTCTCATTCTCACTATCCTCCTCTTCACTGTCAATAATGACAGGCAAAGTAGCAGTTGCAGTCGGGAGTCGACGATAGCTCCATGGCTCAGATGACTTATGGTCTAACAACTTCTCAAGTTTAGCCATAATATCTGGCGAAGCATTTGCAATAGCTTGTGATGCCACTGTAAAAATATAATCGAGGTTCCGAATAGCTATATCCTGGAACCAAGTGGCAAATGAAATATTAGTTGCACATTATGCTATGACTTTATTACATTTGGCCAAACTTGACAATAAAAAAAATAAAATCAATGAAAAGGAAATAATCATATTAAGATTAAGGTCCGATTGCAATTTTGGTCAAAGTGGTTTGTAATTAATCAACTCATTTTCTCCTGCTTTACTCAAACCTAAAACCTTCAGAACGTCTCAAACTGAACTTAAGATGATTCAAGGAAAAGAGAATCTATAAATTTTGTGAAAAACAAGACAGCAACAAATACGTTTATACTAAAAACCAAATCAATTGATCAAGAAATCTATTATAGTGAAGAACAGGAAGCTACCACATGCAACTCTCTAACTCGCAGAAAGTGGCAGAAAAGTATACCCGAAATTGAGATTAAAGTAAGATCTATGAAGCAGTCATCTAGAAGTGAAGCAGAAGTCCCAAATAAAAATGACTTTTTCAGTATCTAAGTCTTCATATTGCATACCTCACAGTGCTTCCTCAAATCATCAGCCTCAAGTGAATCTGCAATTTCAAGTAGTTGAATAGCATTTCGTGGTTCCACTAAACTCTCTGCAGCAACTTTTTCACAGAGACTTTTCAAGCTAGGTACACAACGAAGTTCAGTGGCAACCTTTGGGGAAGTAGATGGCTCAGCAACAGAGTCAATATCATGAAACATCAAATCTTCATCAAGCTCATCTAGCTCATCCATGCCATTGGAAATATAGTTCTTTGAAATCTTGTTCCCGTTGACATGATAGGCAGGATGATAGAGAGAACCAACAATCAGTAAATGTGTTTCACCAACTGACACGTACGTAGCCCTCTTTACCCCATGCAAACGTGTTGCAACAGGTGGCTTATCCTTGCCATTCTTCCCATCCCACATGAATACATCACCAATAGATGTAACAGCAGCAATCCAGTATTTTCCTGCCGAAATACTGACCACGTCTCTTCCACAAAGTGAATATAGCTACATGAAAGGAAAAACAGAGATCAGACATCAATAAGTAACTGACAAGTTGTTCACAAGAAAAGAAATAAAACCAAGAGATCAAACTTGTTGGCATCTAAGATCAGCATCCGAGGAATCCCAATAGAATACTGCACCATCATCAGTGAGAGCCATGCTATGAACCATCCCAGCAGCAATGTTAACCACATGAAGCCGTTTCATTCTATGAAACTTTAGTGGGGTGTTCCCACTTTTCTTTAAATTCCTAGCAATTACAACTCGCCTCGGAGTAACAAGCCTATGTCCCCAAGTGTAAACCTGCAACAACATAAAATCCTCTCTTAGAACAGCTAAGCCAACCAAAGATATCAACATATAATCTGCTACAGAATGACGATGTATGTGCATAGCATTACTAGCTCAAAATTAATGTACCTTTAAAATGAAAATTTACAAGCTCAACAAATCTTTAAAAGTTACCTCTCCATCAAGCCCCAAACATATTGTGTGAAATTTTGCTGCAGCCACTCGAACAAAAACCTTTCCCTTCAAGTATTCAACCACTCTAGGAGTGTAATTAGAAGCTGAGTTAGAGGTTCCATAACCGAGTTGACCTTCCCTATTGCAGCCCCACGTAAAAATTTCACCAGACTCAGAAACCACAGCAGTGTGTTTGTTTGCGGCAGCAACATCAACAATTTTAGACCTCAGAGAACTAACTCTTCGAGGCGTGGGTTGGGTATCAACAGAAGTGTAACCGAGTTGACCCTCTGCAGATCAAAATTAGGGAACACTCAGTTCCTCAGAAATCAATAGAACAATGGGCAAGAAAAGCAAATGCAATGTGTTCCAATATTCTATTTATTACATAGAACTTTTAGAGAATGAATAATGAGCTCCAGCCACCATCCAATATTTTTGACATACTTCCCTTAAAACTTTGTACATATGAGCTCAATGGCATCAAGATACTTTACCTCTATTAGATCCCCAGGTGAATACTTCACCACCCTCTGTGGCAATAACCGTGTGATGTTTGGCAGCAGCAACTGCTCTCACACGGCGGGAACCTAAACCAAAATTCACCTGCCGAGGGGTGATAACTGCAGCTTGACCACTGTCATGAATGAAGTCAAATGTATCTAATGAAAATATGTGGGAAAATTGCAGCTGGACAAGTACATTCAGCCTTGCTTCTTGTTCAACAAAAGAAAGAATGTTTATCCAATTGTAACAGTGACTAGCACATCAGTATCTCCCATTTGACAGCCAAGAGTCTAGGATCATTGAATTAAAAAATCGATAAAGAATGCACAGCACTCCTACTGCTGGCTGCCTTATATTATACAATTTAACACAAGCATACAAATAGATGACTGAATAAATTGAATTGTAGGTGTATGTACTAACGACTTCTATATATATTAGAACACTAAATAAATTGTCAATAAAGAAATGGGCAGACAAAAGATACTAAAATACATCATATGTAATTGAACAAAGGGACTCAAACCTGTGAATATCGAAGTCAGGGTGTCCAAGCCGGCCTCCCCTTCCAAAACCCCAGGTATAGACTTGTCCATGAGCACTTACAGCTACACTATGAAACTTGGAAGCAGAAACCAACTTGATAAAGGAACCATGAAGAGAATCTATTTTACATGGAAGCTTTTGGATGTGCTCGTTGCCAGTTCCAAGTTGGTAGTTTGTGCCACTGCCCCAACTAAACAACTCTGTGGCAACTGGGAAATGAGAATTAATGTATTGAGCCTAATGATCAGCGTCACGAGTAAATATAAAATGGAAGGCCAAAAAGGTACCTGAGGTAGGTTCACCTCCCACGACCTGCAATACAGGCCCAGAGAGGAGATCTATTGGTGTTCTACACTTGGAGTCCTCCAACGTGATAGAGGCACCACATTGGAGAAGGATACATGCAACTGCAAGATGACCAAAATGTAGAGCTCTGTGAAGACTGCTCCATCCAGATTCACCGTCCTGAAACAAATTATTGATGGTCATCTGTAACCTTCTGAAATTGGGAAGCTAAGTAACCAGTAAAAGCTAAAGATAGCCTAAAAAATATATGCTCTCTGTACGGAACAAAACTCACAGAGAAGGTCAATAGAACAGAACAAACCCTGCCTATGAATCATGAGATTGACCGAAGACTCTCCAACCAGTTATTTGAGGGAAAAAAAAAAGGATAATGTAAAAAATATTTTGACATAGGGAAGCTGACGAGACATGTTCTATCTACTGTCTCATACCTCAAAGTTTCCTAGTTGCCACCAGGAAAACTCGACACCAAAGACCCTGCCTATGAGCCTTGAGATTGACTGAAGATTCTCCAACCAGTTATTTGAGGGGGAAAAAAAGGATAATGTAAAAATTATTTTGACACAGGGAAGCTAATGAGACATGTACTATCTACTATCTCATACCTCAAAGTTTCCTAGTTGCCAAATTCCCAGGAAAACTCGATACCAAAAAAAGACCTGCCATCCTTCATGCTGAAGCTAACTCAAAATATTAAAAACATTAAAAATATAATTGGATTTCTCCTCATTGCTAGAGCAAAAGACGTTGGAGTCTCTAAAAAATCCAATTGCCTTTATAAAGTGCAGACGAATGCATCAAGGCATTGCTGCAGGAACTTTGGCCTGACAGGAAGAATAGGGTGATCGTGATGAATCCAGGGAAATGGAAGAAGTTCCAAAATTAACAAATCTGATTGTTCTTCTTTGTGTTTCCCTTCACCCTCATTCTATAATTTATAAGTTAACTAATAGAGTAGTAATTTGTCCATAGTTTTCAAGAGAGTAGTTCAGTCCAAAAGACATAATTAAACCGTAGAAGTTGACTTTTCCCATTCCTATTAGACACAAAGATTAAGATAAGAGTTAAAATTAGGTACAGGGAGCAAAGGTACATGCATGATAAAAAAAGTAATGATTTTTTTTTTGTTCTTTTTTGATGAAAAACCAAACTTTCATTGAGAAAAAATGAAAGAAAGAACGGGCATACAAAAAGAACCATACAAATGGGAGCTAAACTGATAATTAAATGGTCGCTCAACCCAAGTCTGAAATAAAGAACGTTGACCAACATACCCTAGCATCAGGATCAGCACCAGCTGCCAGAAGTCGCCTTACAATAGGAATATGATTTCTCCAGATTGCAATATGAAGGGGAGTGAGACCAAATGCGTTTCTTGCATTAATGTTCCCCCCATTCCTCTTCAGCAGTGCCAATGCTGAATCCACACCTGCCAAGGACCCTTCACGAACAATAAGCCATAGATCTTTCTGGGAACTCATTGATGAAGATTTGCGAAATGAAGTCTGTACATTTTGCTTCTGTCCTTGCGATGAAACTAGCACCTCCATTTTGTAAGATGTGCAGTAGTTTATTTTACTTCCTAATATAAAATTTTAGAAGAACAATGTATAAATTCTCCTCAACTCTTGAAACAACTATGAAACTGCTTCTTAAGAATAAGTTATCAGCAGTGAACAATATTAAGACGTCAATCAACAGATGTCTGGTAAGAAGAACGTCCAAGTCAACCAACTCATCCGCTACTTGAAACAACGCCCCTTCATCTCAGACTATGTCGTAATAAATATCCTAGACAAAAATCAACCTATAAGGTAATAGCACATTCCTTTATTGGATTAAAAAACATCTTTCCATTATCACCTCCATAATTACTGAGACAACACAATGTAGCAGCCACTCACAAAACCAATCATTTGGGACGACAAGAAAATTTTCACGTGCAAACAAGTGAAAAAGAGCCCTGCAATTCAAGATGGTCCATCAGAAAAGTTAGCTTTCTAAAACTAAATTTAAAGTAAAAAAAAAAAGTAAGCACTTGTAGACGAACTGAATGACCAAGGTTAGTTTAGACAGAAAAATAGAATGAGCTGCCAAGAGAAAAAAAGAGGCGCAGCACAACAGTTTTCAGCTTAAGTAAGAAAGTTAAGTAAACATACTCTGAATCGCAATTATCAACCATGACAAGAAACACACACAGTTATAATATGTGTACGTCAATCATGTCATTAGCCTCATAAAGGCAGTTCATGCCTATCTACAGACTGTAGTACATATTACACAGTATGATACTTCCTGAATTATCAATAAACTTCGAAAAAGAAGACTATAAATGAAGAAAGCGTCTCAAGAGGCGTTTCCTTTTCTATTTCCTTCAAAAAAAAAAAAAAAAAAAAAAAAAAAAAAAAAAAAAA